TAGCGATATATTACTGCTTTGGCGTATCTTATCGCTTCGCTAGTCCCGCGACTATATTATTTATTATTATTAAAAAAGTATTACGAATGAAAAGTAAAAATAAAACTAAATTAAAATGCTCAAAATATTTAAGTAAAAATAAAACTAAAATTAAAATTGTTCGAAATATCAAGAAAAATATTTTTATTTTTGGTTCTTGTTCTTTTTGGCGAAAAGAATTTTTTCTTTCTTTCCTACCGCAGCTATTTTATAATTTTTTCTCCTTGTTTACCTTCATCCTCTGTCATCCATAAAAACGTTTTTGTGCCAGGATGAATAAACAGTCATCCTGGATGATCTGGATGATGGATGACACACAAGGATAAATCATCCAAATAGTGACACATATCATCCTTCATCATCCCCCGTGACTTCGGCTATTTTCGTGCCGCCTCAATTATGTATTACGGAGGAGTTACTCCTAAAAAAAATTACGGATGATCTTAATTTTATATAGTCATTAAAAGAAATCTGATGATATGCATGCTTGTATAACGTTCCTATTACCATTTATACAATATATTTAAACAGTTAAAAATAAAAAATATTCTCGAGAAGCACTTATCCGACAAACCAAAGCGTAAATTAAATAAATAACCGATGTGTAAATATTGTAATATCATATTTACATGTATATAGGAAATACAATGTATTGAATTTAATATAACATTATTTATTAATTTATTTTTATAACTATCGTATAATTTTTGACGACAATATCATAAGTTTTAAAGCCTTTAGAATTTGTATTCCATTTAAAACTTCAATAAAATATATAAAATTTTAAAGTTCAATTTTATATAGATACTATATTCTACAGTATAATTTCAACAGAAATGATTCGAGCACAAGTAACAGGAGGTTTCCAGCGGAACTTGGAATCAAGTGAAGGTAAAGTTAGTGGCCTACAGAATAATCTCAATTATGTTAGCGGTCTACAGAATAATCTTGGCTATGTTAGAGGTCTACAGAATAATCTCAGTTATGTTAGTGGTCTACAGAATAATCTCGGTTATGAGCATGGGGTTGGAGCAACAAAAGAAGAAACATTTCAATTGCATTTGAAATCAGCTGAAGAGGGAAATAGTGATGGAGCGAATAGTCTTGCTTATTGTTATTACTATGGAATTGGTACAACAAGAGATGAAGAGAAAGCATTTCAGTGGTACTTGAAATCAGCTAATGGGGGAAATATTATTGGACAGAATAATCTTGGATATTGTTATTACTATGGGATTGGGACAACAAAAGATGAAGAGAAAGCATTTTGGTGGCACTTGAAATCAGCTGAAGGTGGAAATAGTGACGGACAAAATAATATTGGACATTGTTATCAACTTGGAATTGGAACAACGAAAGACGAAGAGAAAGCATTCCATTGGTACTTGAAATCAGCTGAAGGTGGAAATATTATTGGACAGAATAATCTTGGAGATTGTTATTACTATGGGATTGGAACAACAAAAGATGAAGAGAAAGCATTTCAGTGGTACTTGAAATCAGCTGAAGGGGGAAATATTATTGGACAGAATAATCTCGGATATTGTTATAAAGATGGGATTGGGACAACAAAAGATGAAGAGAAAGCATTTTGGTGGCACTTGAAATCAGCTGAAGGCGGAAATAGTGAAGGACAGAATAATATTGGACGTTGTTATCAATTTGGAATTGGGATAACAAAAGATGAAGAGACAGCATTTCAGTGGTACTTAAAATCAGCTGAAGGTGGAAATAGTAACGGGCAATATGATCTTGGTTATTGTTATCAATATGGAATTGGAACAACAAAAGATGATATGAAATCATTTCAGTGGTACTTGAAATCAGCTGAAACGGGAAATAGTGGCGGACAGAATAATGTTGGGTATTGTTATCAACATGGAATTGGTACAACAAAAGATGAAGAGAAAGCATTTCAGTGGTACTTGAAATCAGCTGAAGGCGGATACATTACAGGGCAGAATAATGTAGGACATTGTTATCGATATGGGATTGGAACAATAAAAGATGAGGAGAAAGCATTTCAATGGTACTCGAAATCAGCTGAAAGGAGGAGTATTGTTGGACAGAATAATCTTGGAGATTGTTATGAAAATGGGATTGGAACAACAAAAGATGAAGAGAAAGCATTTCAATGTTACACGAAATCAGCTGAAGGTGGAAATATTACTGCAACATATAACCTTGGGCGTTGTTATCAACATGAGATTGGAACAACAAGAGATGAAAAGAAAGCATTTCAGTGGTACTTGAAATCAGCTGAAGGTAGAAATAGTGATGGACAGAATAATCTCGGTTATTGTTATGAACATGGGATTGGAACAACAAAAGATGAAAAATTGGCATTTCAGTGGTACCTGAAATCAGCTGAAGGTAGAAATAGTGATGGGCAAAACAATCTTGGGCGCTGTTATCAATATGGGATTGGAACAACAAACGATAAAGAGAAAGCATTTTTATGGTATTCGAGATCATCTGAAGGGAAAAATAGTAATAGCATGGATATAGATGAAACAAATAAAGATTTGAGGAAGTTTGCAGAAAAACAAACGGTAACTAGTGATTTTGCTGATAGAAATTATTTCAACTGCATTAAGTTCACGAAGCCCCAAATTATTATCAATGACTCGAATATTTGGAGCGAATCATTTGATTCTAATATCTCAAATTCAAATTTCCTTTCCATAGAATCAAATGTATATTTTGGAACTTCAGCTGCTTCACATGCTAAAGTTGAAAAGCTAATTAAATTACTTGTGGACAAAAAAAAAGAAATTGATAAAGTGTTTGAATCACAACCTGAATATTTTATAGGACTTGATTTCCATGAAAATTCCTCTGTACCACATATTTCTTGTTGGACTACTGAACCACTTGATATAATAATTCTAGAAAAGCTCGAAGAATTATTTGATGATGAGTTTGAAGCCATGAGTTTTGTGATAACTTCCACAAACGATGAAGGCATAAATGAAAATGATTATTCAGCCAGTCATGACAATGATAACAACAACAACATCATCGTCAACAACAACATCAACAGCAACAATAATAATGACAACAATAACTATAATAACAATTATAACAACAATAATAATAATAGCTATAATAACAATAATAACAATAATAACAATAACAATAATAATAATAACGATAATAATCACAATAATTATGGTGGGAATAAAGACAACATTAATTGTTTTCATGTCTCATCTGGAGTAATTGCAAAAGCTGTGGATGAGAATTTATATGATGTCTTTCAAGATTTTATTATTTCGGCTTATCTACAGGCAAAGGTTTATTCTCTTCCTGATGAAAGAAATCGAAAAAATTTAAAATTTTCTATAGATGTAAATGACTGTAGAATTGGAACAATGCTTAGTGAAAACTGGCCACCACTTCGTAAACTGGGTTCTGGTTATTTTCTTGATTCTGTTGAAATTTGGGTCACTCCAATTAAAGATGAATCCATGCCTAACAAGCTCTTATACAAAGTAAAAGATGGTCCGTGGCCACAACAATCTAATAGTGATGTTGATATTTCTAAAGTTCATGAATCTAAACATGGCATCAGTGCATCAATTAGTAGAGATCCTGGGGCTATATTAAGCAAAGGTATAATGAATGGACAAGAAATTAAGTCTGTAACTAAGGAATGGGAATTGACAGTTGATGGCAGTTGTAGAACTGGATTGGGCTGGAGATATCAATATACTGCTGAAAACCTTCATAAAAATTTTAAACGTAGAAGAAATTTTGCCCCTGGAATACATTCCTGTCACTGGGAAACCTTAGAACCAATGAGTGGATTTCATATTACTATTAACCAGGTGATATGCTGCAAAATTACTGATGGTTGGCGAAAGTTAAAACCATATACAAAATCAAACTTAATGCAAATATGTCCCAAGATGTCTCATACTATTAAAATAACTTTTAATAGTCTTGAAAGCTTTAATGAAAATTTTGAAAAACTTATGAAATCTAAAGAATCTCATGACGATCTTATTAATGTCACTTTAGTAAAAAAAGCCTCGCCCCAAATAGAAGATCCAAACGGGGGAAATATTATTGAGCGCTCAGTCAAAATAGTGAATCAAAAATAAAAATCAGATTATTTTTCGGAACATTTGTACGATGCGATGCTTGTTTTTTTAATTAAATTGGTTGTTGTTCAACAATTAATTAATTAATTATATTTGGACAAAGATATAGTGTTAGAGGTGAGGAATTTTAGTGTAGCATGTGTGAATAATAAAAAGAATATAATGTAATAGGTTATAATTATATATATATATTTATAGGATACGAAGTAGCTAGCACTTCCAGATTACTGATCGACTCGGATCAATTCCCTCATATTTATTTATTCGTGATAAAGTTTCGGTTACGGTTATTTATTTTAGACAATAAAGATTTCTCTAAATACGAAATATAATTTTTTCTAGAGATAAGGATTATTCTTATATTTTGAAAAGATAAAATATATATTATTAAAAAAAATATATAAATTAAAAAAATATATAAAATTAAAAAAATATATAAAATTAAAAAAATATATAAAATTAAAAAAATATATATAAATTAAAAAAATATATAAAATTAAAAAAATATATAAAATTAAAAAAAATTATTAAAATTAAAAAATTATTTATTTATGATGAAACAACAGAACTCAAGTCTTTAAATGCAGATCAAGAATTTCGAATTCATTTACAATGGATAATTATAATTTGCCAACTATAATATTAAAAACAAGAAAGCATTTAATTTGTCAAAATTAAATTCAAATAATAATTATTAGATCAGTTTAACTTGGTTTTAAATCAAATTGAACGTAAAAATAATGAGAAAAACTATTTACAATTAATATACAAGTGAATAGTAAGAAAAAACTAAATTTAAAAAAATTACAAAAAAAAATTAAAATACCCGTTGAAATTTGTTAAATATAATAATATAAATAATTTTGGATTTTTTACTATTCATTCAGTGGTTATTTTTTTTAATATTATAACTTTGCTGTCAACTTAGATTATTTTAAAATTTATTAAAATTAATTTCTGCAACACTTTATTGTTAATTATAATTGTAACATTGGTTAATAAATTTTCAAAATAGAAAATTTGTTAGTTGATATTAAGCTTATTGTTAAGGTTTAAAATATAATATTAATATGTAAAAAATTACGGAGAGAACTTTTTCTTATGATTTGAAAGGTGATTTCATAATCAAAATAGCGATTTTTTTTTAAAAAAAAATGGTTCTTTTTGTTTGAATTTTTGATCTTTAACCAAATCGCAAGATCACAAAATCAAGGTCTTTTAATGACTACACTATTTGAACTCAATACTACTAAAAATAATAATCAATTAAATATTCGCGAATTTGGATTCAATTCCAAGGAAAAATTAAAAAAAATGTATAACCAATTATTTGATTCCATTGCAATTAATATTTGTAAATTGTATAATGCTTACCATTTCAAATAAGTACAAGAGAAAGCACTTTAAAGTGGAAATAGTAATGGTCAGAATAATCTTGGATATTGTTGTAGAAATGTGATTGGAACAAGAAATGATGAAAAGAAAGCATTTCAGTGGTACTTGAAATTAGCCGAGGTGAAAATATTTTCGGACAACATAATCTTTCATTTTGTTATCATCATGGGATTGGAACAACAGAAGATGAAAAGAAAGCCATCCAGTGGTACATGAAATCAGCTAAAGAAGGAAACGGTACTGGACAGTATATTCTTGATATCGTTGCAGAAATGGGATTGGAACAACAAAAGACAAAGAGAAAGCATTAAAATCAGCTGAAGGGGAAAATAGTAGTCGTAAGGATAGTATAGACGAAACAAATAAAAAATTTGTAGAAAAATAAGCATCAACTAGTGTTTCTGCTGATAGAGATTATTTCAATTACATTCAGTTCACGAAGCCCCAAATTTCCATTAATAAGTTGGATATTTGGAGTGACTCATTTGATTCAAATTTCCTTTCCATAGAATCAAATGTATATTTTGGAACTTCAGCTGATTCACATGCTAAAGTTGAAAAGCTAATTGAATTACTTATGGACAAAAAAGAAAAAATCGATGAAGTGTTTAAGTCACAATCTGCATATTTTATAGGACCTGATTTCCATGAAAATTCCTCTGTGCCACATATTTCTTGTTGGACTACTGAACCACTTGACATATAAATTCTAGAAAAGCTTGAAGAATTATTTGATGGTGAGTTTGAAGCTATGAGTTATGTGATAACTTCTACAAATGATGAATACATAGATGAAGAAATAAATGAAAATGAATATTCTGCTAGTAATGACAACGGAAATGACAACAAAAACAATAACAACAACAATAACAACAGCAACAACAACCAGTGATGAACAATGACCTAGGTCATACAAAAATTTTCAAAATGACCTTGATCACATGTTTATGACTGATGGTCATATGTCATAATTATGCAAAGGTATTGTTTTTGATATATTTATGGTTATTTTTTTGATATATCAAATTTCTTGTGACAAAATAGTTATTTTTTTGATGTATCAAAAAAAAATAACCATAGGTGTCTCAAAATGATATCTTAGCCGTAATTATATGACTTCTACTCATATTAGTGTTAGGAATCACAAATACAAAATCATAATTAATCAACTATCAACTATATAGTCAAGTACAAATGTTAATGGATGATTATTCGTGATTAATTGAAAATTATAAAAATCATGATTAATCATGAATAATCATGATTAATTGTTGTATTTTTCTTTTATAATTATAATATTATAATTAGAAAATTGCTAAAGCTCACCAGTGGTAATTGTCACTACTGGGTAAAATTAAATTTATGTGGACAAGTTAGGGTTAGGGGTTGATCAGGAAATTATGTAATTTTGCTTGGCAGTGACAATCTCCACCAGTAAGCTTTAGTATTATCCTTATAATTATATAATAT